TACAAGCAGCATGCCATCCTTTAAAAATCTTACATTTGAAAGAATTCTTCTGGAAATCCCCCTGCTGCTTTGCAATTTAATTTATCTTGTATCTTTCTTTTGTGTCTATGATTCCAGCACTGAAGTAACAAGTTCTGTTGACCAGTTTCATTATCATTTCCTTTCATGTGACTTTAATTGTGCCCAAATAATGAAGTGTTGCAGTAGTGAAAGGTGGTGCATGCCTGAGCTATATGCCCCAAAATGAATCATTTGATCTTCACTTACATATATGAAAAAATCAAAAGAGGAGGGAAATTATGCTATGTGTTTTCCCCATCTTCACTACAATTAAACATCTGTTTCCTTTAAAAATTTAAAAATATTCCATAAAGTACATACTCTAATTTCTGTGTTTTCTCCCTACTTTTCTAGGATAACTCACTAGCCCATTACTGACATTGGAAAAACATAACACCACAGATGCTGTGGTAGGTAAGATGCTCCATAGTTAAGGCACTTGTCAAAAAATTGTAACTTTTTTTTTGCAATTATCTCAAGACTCATGGGCTTGACAAAAATAAAAACCCTGCAAGCAAGGCCAAGCCATTCCATTAGCAGCTGAGAAAGCTCTCAATCCACAATGAAGATCTTCAAGAGGTCCTCTGGGTAATAAAGGCAAAAAGCAGCACCTCCTGCATTTTTTCAAATTCTTTTGACAAAATAAACAGAAGGAAACAGAAGAACCCGCTGATCTGTCTCAGGGATGTCTCCCTCAAACTCAAAATACAGGCACAAATAAAATGAAGCAACAACAGAATCTAAGTTGAGCTTTAGACATGTATCTCCAGAAGTGTTCGATGACTCATTTTGGATTTTATTTGTCACTTCTAGTTTCTCCCTTCCAGAACAGATGTTGAGTCATCTTTCTAGAGTGGTAGTGTAAACAGTGGCGATGATATAAAATGGCAACACTGATAACTCACTCATTAGCAAAGATACAAAGATGATTCAGTAAGGTTATGCTGCTGCCACACAATATATCCCTTCATCAACAGTATTTCAAAAGAATTGTCTCCTCATCAATTCATTCAGCTGAGAACTGAAGGTTTAAAACATTAATCTTGAGACTCTCCAGATGGTTATCCTTAAATGAAAACGGTTACCCCAGAAACTAATTTTCCACTGCATTTCTTTATCTCAGTTTCTGTTTCACACAATTCTAAAAATTACCTTAAGCCACAGTCTGAGGGAAAAACAAAACTTACATCTCTGCTGAAGAGTCCAATCCACAGTGGGTAATTACGAAGGGCAGCCTGAACAGCAAGAAAAGCCTGCTGGAACTGATCTGTGATGCTAACCAGCTGCATCTTGTTATTTATGCATTCAGCCAGTGCAGCGTTCCAGGTCAAATTCTTCAGAATTAACATGTATTGAACATTTTCATAGCTCAATGTTTCATTAATGACGTGCTCTGTCTGGTTATCAGCAGTTCCTATACCTAAGAAAGAAATCCAGTAATTAGGTGTCTAAACACTGTAATACATTTTAAATTTCCAATGTCTCTGTAACAATCAGAAAAACCTGTTTGGATTATGCCTGAAAAAAATAATCTTAGACAGTAGATTATGCTATGATTATAGTTAGGAGTAAATACTTTTCACACTTCAGATAGAAAAATATATGTTAAGAAACCCCTATTATTTTCGGCCAATGTATCTTTAAATATATTTTTCTCAGCTTAGGTTCACATCTTTTTATATCTGTTATTTTTAACTAACTGCTAAATAATTAATTGAATTTAAAAAATCTATAACTTTAATTATACACGAATGGGAGAGAGAGACTGCTTTCTGCAGAAAGATAGTAAAAGCTAAACTTGACTCATTTATCTCTGTGGAGCCTGTGGCTTTAGGCTTATGCACATCTAATGGGCCACAAAACTTGTCTATGCAGATCTTGGTACAGTACAGTCCCAGAATTCCTTACTGCCATCTACGAGGATAGTGAGAACTGATTTTGCCTCCACATGTGCTTAACTAATTGCAGAAAATCCATCTTGCATAGGGAGGGGCATAATTCACTATTTGTGCTCTAAGCACTGTTATCATTGTTATCAGCATCATACCTGAAGGCAGAAAGCTCAGTGATGCATGGCAACTGCAGCTAATAAAAGATGCAAACATTCCCATGGATGGTAAGTTAAAGCATACAAATGGTAATCCCAAGAATTCTATACACATTCACTCTTCAAAAGGCAGAACCCCCCATACATTTAAAATATCTCAAGCAGAAAAAAGCTCGTGGGGTGGAGTGGGGGAGGGAGTGAATCACTCTATGAATTACAGAATATAAATGGCTGATTGATAGACTGACAGGGCCATTTTCCAAAGCATAAGATGACAGAGACACAATATTAATTTGATATTTACAGCTTTCAATAGATCAGAAAAGTGACAGATTGTTTCAAGTGGTTTGTGCCTGCTGCCAAATGCTTTCACTTAGTAAACAGCTACAGAAGAGAACCATGGAACCCAGGGTGCTGTCACACATCAAGAGGTACCAAATTGGAAACTAGGTAGTAAACAAAGTGTTCATTTCTGAAAAAAGGAATTGCTGATGATTACTATGTCACGCAGTTCTGAAAACCACAATCATGCCAAGATTTTCAACAAGCCTGAATAGTCTTCTTCTCTAGGATAATGTCCTAAACTACCTGGACAACTGTCCCTGCAACCTGCTGAGGCTCCTTCCAACACGAATTATCCTTAGATCCTAAACACAATGATGATATAGGACTAAACCATAGCAGGAGACATTCTCTGTCAGTCAAAAAAACTTCATTACACCTTGTACAGCTGTAGCAAAGAAGAAGTGAGTATCTGTGAACAGATATTCATATAAACAGATACACTGTCAACCTCCTATTGATAAAAATCTCTTTTTCAAATTTTTATGACATGTCTTCCATCCAGACTTCTCGTCTCAACACTTGGAATTTCTCAAGTATTTGGCACTGAAGTAAAGAAGATTTTGTATGTTAAACGGAGGTGGGGGAGTGGGAGATGGAAATCTCTGACTATTTGAGAACAAAGAAGGTGGGCATATTCCTGGGTGTTTTGCACACCTAGGCGGTTTTTGTGGGTTATTTTACTTTAGAAGATAGTATGTTCATTATTTAAAAGGATTATTTCTAAAATGGAACATACACGTGGGTATGCTGAACATTAGCCCATAGCAGTAATTAAATGCATAGAATAACTATACACGTTTGATTTTATTCCAGTAACTGATATTGACCAACCCACGTGGGTACATCTACGTATTATTTTTAGTTCAGATTAAGAAATCCCACTCATACCAATAGATCTGTATGAAGCTAGAGAAAGCTGCATCACTCCAAATCATCACTCTCCATGTATGCCCTCAAGCTGGCTCTGGAGAGACCAATTCCAGCATTAAGAGTCTATGACACCTTATATTCTGATAGTACTAAACCCCACTAAATATATTTAAGGAGGATAGAAGTATTTTAAGATTCCTTCCCAGGGCTTCTTACTTCCACAGTTCTGAAGAGGAAAAAGCAGTCACTTGTTCCACTTCTTGATGTACATGGCCACTATACCCATAGAACACTAAAGATCTGCCTGCTGAAGTATAATTCCACTGAAACCACACAAAGTCTCTCAGGAAAACAGATTTCCTCTGAACTGGGCTATGAAAAACAGTCCCAGATCCTCCTTCACACTGTTTTTCCAAAATTGCCCTGCTCAGACTCTGTAAGAATCTTGCTCTTTAAGTGAAATAATTTACATGCATTAAGAGGTCTCCTGGCACATGCCACCTTAAGTGCAAACTCTGGTTGTAATTTATTTTGACTTTTCAAACTTACCTATAGGCCGCTGGCATATACCCAAGAAGTGCCTGTCAGCACAAGCAGTGAAATTCCATGTTCCAACATACTGTGATTTGGGATCATTGAGGATTACACCACACTGATTGTTAAATTCTTCATCAAAAAGCTGAAAAAAAACCAGAAATACACTTATCAGACTCAAATAAGGCATAAACATGCTTGTGTAGAGGTGAAGTAACATGAGGCTAGGAGAACCTGACTGGTTCTTAAGCAAGTCTGGACTTGCTTAAGAAGTTTCAAAGGAGTGGTGCAATAAGGCTTACCTGTTTTACAAACACTACCAGGTACCTGGACTCAGAAAGATTTCCTAAATTAAATACAGTTCAGAAGCTGTCATCCAAATAAAGGTAAACAGAATTTCATTACTGTGATTCACCTTGTTGGCCAATTAAAATGACTAACTGGGGGATTTGGTCTGTTACAAGGGTTTATTTGTTTTTCTTTTATACGGGCAACATTCCAAATTTCATTACTCAATAGTCAAGAGAAGTCAAAAATCAGAACTTACATCCAGTGGAATTTTCCATAACCTTCCTGTAAGGAGTGGGTGAAAGTTACTATACAACAATCTACTCCCATCTATCCACTTGTTTTCTCTTGTGCTGAACAGAAACTGTAAACCAATCCAAATATCTTTTGGCATACCAGGAAGCAAGGATGTTATAAAATCTGTTGGGCAGAACAGTAAATGTACATATTATGGTTCAGACCACAACAGTAAACAGCTGAAAAAAAACTTCACAGAAATAAGATAATGCAACCCACATTTGTATTAACTTGATTCTTCAGCCCTTCATGAGTGCCAAATGCTTACCATCCCTTACTTCCATATGTAACACTTTTTAATATGGATTTTATCTGAAAGGAGCAGGCTATTGGTATTTGTTCTCCAAATTCTGAGCTGAGTAGCAAGTAGTGGATTTAGCCTGTTTCTACTACTTTGTACTCTGGAACTTACATCCAAATTTCAGAAGCTGCTTTTCACAAGTCTGCAAGATCTTCAACTGTATCCCTGCAGAGATAATAGAAGAGCTTCCTCCTACCCTCTCCAAATTGACAGAGGAAGTTTTTTTTGATTCTGGCAGTTTGTCCAACCCACCATCAGAGAAAGCAAGACAGGACAAAGGAAGTGAGGTTTAGCAGGAAAAAAAATTCAGCCAGGCAAACCCTAAATCAGACCCCTCTTAGTGAGTGTTCTGGTAAGAAACAATGGGCTTTGGTAACCTCACAGGCAACAAAGGCATTCACTGAGCTTTGACTAGATTGGGAAGACAAATCAAAGCTATGAAATTAGCTACTACTGACTTGTTTTAACTATTGGCCGCATGCCAGACAAGCCACAGCCTGTTTTCTAACCGATACAAAGCCATTGTAGATTTACGTGTCAGAGCTAGTCAGTGATCTGATGCCACCAGGAAGAGTAGAGGCAGCCTAAAGAAAGAGGCACACTTCTTTAAGAGGACTGTGTCTTCTTTCCATATAGGGAGCCTCCACTACAAGGGGGAAAGAAATACAAACAAGAAACAATAACTAACACTTCCATGTGCACCAAACCACACAAAAGATCCTGCTATTTAACATTTTGGAATGGCTATGCTTTTGCAATCTTAAAAGCATCCAAAAACATGCAGGCCTCAGATGTATATTCCACTATATAAACCTATTCCTTCCTAGTAACAGCAGTAAAATAAACTATCATTCAGCTGCTGCCTGCAGGTACACTAGTGACCTCTCTAGTCCACTTTCCATATTTTGTTTGGCAAGAGATTATTTGCTTATAAAGAAAATATGCACTGTGCACACTGCAGAATTCAACTGAGCTACTTGAGATATAACCCCAGAGAACTCTTAATCATCATCAAGAATAAAGACTACAGTTGCAAATTCAGACATCTCACTCAGTGGTTTATTGCTGAACATTACTTGCAGCCAATGTGAACCCATTTCTTCCTCTCAGCATTTCCCTCAGTGACTCTAGCTGGTAAGACAACAGAGGTAGAACAGTCCTGTGTTTCGCAGTTCAGCCTTCCATCAGTGTCCTGGAGAGCTTGCAGGTGGTCAGGTGCCATACTGAGTTGCTCAGTACATGTAGACACAGAGTGTCCTATGTGCTCCAGCAGGCACCATGTTTGCTATCTCACTCCCACATGGACAGCTGAGTTTGTCTTGGAAGCAATTCCTAAGGTGGTTTTCACAGTGCAAAGCCTACATCTCAAACATGTTTTAACTTGCAGAGTAAAACATGGGAAGTCTTTATTCAGTGACAGCCCTTCTATGCTCAATTCTTAATGCAAGGTTTTATAATTTTTTCTTTTTGTAACAGGTTAGACTCATACAGAGCAGCTGCTCTTCAAACTGGCTCAAATGTCTGCTTCCATGTTATGTTTCCAGTGATGTACACAACAAGGGACAACACATTTTTAACTGGTCCCAGATTTTCAAAATGCTCCCATTATGCCTGTAGATAACCAAGTGATTTCATGCTCAAGTTCTTAAGCAGAACTATTATGAATTTGGAAGAGAAGCTGCACACTAGAAGTGCTCCTAATTCACCACCGTACCTTGCTCAGCTTGATCCGAGATAGATGGAAGAGAACCTCCAAATGTTACACACTTTTCATTAGCTCTATTAAATGTTAAATATTCAGGTTTCATCTTTAGAAAACACTGCAAAATAAACACAATGAAGCTGATTTCATCATACCATTCTGCCTAAGAAATAACTCAGTAAGAAAATGTTCTTAAACCAACCCTAAAAACTCACTTCTGATTTCCTGCAATAACATATAACCATTTTTCACAGACAGCAAGGGAACTGATACTAACATGCAAGCATTATTAGATTCGGCAGAACAGCTAAATATAAAATAATCCCACTGACTAACTTATCATTCACTGAGGATTAGAATTCAGGAATTTTTACAGGCTACATCTTAATCACGTATTGTTTTAAGAATGAGAATTCACACATGAACTCTACAGTCAGATAGCTAGGCCAGAACTCGTACTGTAGTGTTGTCTTTTGGGAGAAACTGCATTGCAAAAGATCTACTCTGCAACCATGTGAATTGAATCTGCAAACCTTGGCACAATGTAATGTGCAGATTTGATGGACAGTCCTTCTTATATACAGAATAATCATGGACCAAACAACGGGAATGAGTGTCACTAAGACTTCAGATGACTGCCTTAAAACATAGTACTGAAATAGACTATACTATGTCTTCTAACCTGTAGGTTAATTCTTATAAGCTGCTTCTAATTCTTAAGTGAGTTAAGTTCTTAAGGCAACTTAGGAAATAGTATCTGCCAGCTTGCTGCCTGCTATGATTACTCAGCAAGAGAATCAAGATGCTTCCGCCAAAGAAACCTCATCCATTCTCTTTCTAATCCTCCTCCTTACATAGAGCCCAGATTAGACAATACAACCAATGTTCTTGGACCTAAACATGTGGTAGCAGGAAAGCAAAAAAACCTGAATATGAATGTTTTGAAATTGCAAAACTACCCATCCTGAATATGGGACAGAAATGGGGTAGAATATTTTCATCACTACACATACTTTTCAAAAGCCACATCCCCCACACAGAGGCTTCCTCACAAGGGCACTCCAGTTTACTGGACTACAAGAAATAGGTAAGGATGATGAATCTGTATTATGGTTGTACCTTATTCCGGAACTGATGCCAGTCACTAGGGCAACCTCCTCCGACTGGGCGGTAACTGGGATCATGTTTCTCTAGTAAGGAGGCATTATTTCTTTCACAGATGAAGGGCAGTTTCACATTACAGCTAATTGGGTAGTCTGCAGAAGTAGAAGTTTTAAGAGACAGTTATGGTAATGCCTATCACACGCCACTCGCCATCCACATGCTGTGACATGACAAAGACTAGTCTGAAGTGAAGTCCTTTTCAGTGTAACCACAGTGAACTAATATCCAATCTAAAGCATTAAAAACAAGAGTAGAGCAAAAGGCAAGTGTAAATGATTTATATCGGACAGCAACATGATATTCCTAAAGATCCAGAGTCTGATCTTTACTTCCAGTACTAACGCTTCATATAGGCAGAGATAACTTGAAAACAGAAAAATGATGAAAAAAGCTTTTGTGTATGACAACTAATCTCATATTCTGGCATAGAGGGTGTGACCTAAAGGTCATTAAAGCCAAAAAGAGTCCTTTTACATCTACATGGAGAGCATTATCTGGCCTGCACTGCTTTACATGACTACTACAGTAACTGGACTAACTTCCATGTCAAGAACAGTTCTTGGCTAACAGGGATGAAATTAGTTCAGCAGCACACAAGTGAATAATGGGGAAAATGTGCTTTAAAGTGGAAATGATAGTAGACAGGAGGAACTTCTTGTTCTCCAGAGATTATACATTTTCCCCAACACAAACCAGTCTTGAAAAAAGGAAGTAAGAAGCTCCAAGTACCACTATGTGGCATTTCCATTACTTTGTGTACCTCTTCCAGTATGACTCCACTACTTAACGAAATTTACATTTCCTGATTCATACACAGTTGCAAGTTGCAGTCAACCTCCTCTAACTCAGAACCCTCAAATTCCAGAGCTCAGAACATGTAGCCTAAACACAAAAAGGTAGATACCAAAACCAGATTTCATCTAATTAATGTTGCAAAAAGAGTGACAATCAATCATAAACATTTATCATCCGAATTCAGGTTAGCCTTTGGT